TATCTTCTAAATTAGTTTTTTGTTTTTCTGATAAGCAAGTCCCACAAAAACTAATTCATAAATACTTAAAGACTTCCCTCCATTTAGTTTTTCTGTGTTTTGTTCAGATGTGCTCAGGTATTAATATTTAAATCAGGAGAGACGGTTTTGATGCAAGAATACATATGTATTGCCAAGGATACACAAATGAATATAATGGAGTTTTGGCGATTAGGCCCCGTTGTTCAGGAGTATCATTCGGGAGGGGAGAACCGATCCGATGATATCCCCTGGGGGATATCATCGGATCGGTTCTCCCCTCCCGAATGATACTCCTGAACAACGGGGCCTAATCGCCAAAACTCCATTATATTCATTTGTGTATCCTTGGCAANCGGGTAATAAGGGATTATGACGGATATTTTACGATCCTGTCTGTCGAAATGACGGACAGCGAAAAAGTCTAACGCTAGGCTTATTGACAGGGCGAGATATAAATATATGGTTGGTACTTGTCAATGTCTCTAGGTGTGTAAATGTAGTCCTGTAAATACGATGTCCTTTTGTGTTATCTGTTGTTTTATGTTCATGTTGTAACCTACTTGCTGCCATGTTGGACAGGTCTCCCTTGAAAAAGAGATCGATGATCTCAATGGGACCACCTGGTTAAATAAAGGTTTAAAAAAAAAAAAAAAAATTAATTATTTTTTTTTTTTTAAATCGCGGTATATTTTTTAGATTTACCGCGATATTCGGTATATCGTTACATCCCTACTCAACACAATAATGCACCATCATGGCTACTTGTACTTATACTAAGGAAATATTAAGGAAAAAGTATTGCACTGTAAAAGCTTCTTCAGTATGATGATAAGGGAAATGTGTTTAAAGTATTAGAAATATAATGCAGATGTCCACTATGACTGTTGTACTATGATATATTATATAACATGAGGTGATTGCTCAGGCACTAATGTAAAAGCATGTTTTTACTGCTGTAGTTTATGGTACTTTTGGTACATTACGTATATTTTGTGACTACTTACACGTAACAGAGAATTTCTAGACTGTGGCTGCTTTTAATGCAGTTAAATATCAGATTATTCCCCCCCCTCTCTGCTCACCTGCGTTGCACCTCTTCATGTGGTTTTGTCCCCGCTGTTCTTATCGTAGCCCAGCTGCCTTATCACCTCGCTGCAGTACGCCTCCACCTGGTTGATCTGCTCCACGTTCAGCCTCTCCCTCCAGGCGTAAATGGCTTCCTTGGCGTCCCTGGAGGAGATGAGGAAGGGTTTGTCGGAGGAGTATCCGTGTCCGTGCGTCATGTTGAGGGCGAAGCGGTCCAGCGCCGGGGAGCTGGTGAGATTTGAGAAGAGGAAGAGCCTCTGCAGCTCCTCCATGGGCTGCAGAACCAGGTCCTCGTAGCGGACCCGGAGGTAGTTCCTCCTCACCCAGGGGGGGGCGTTCAGCACCAGCATCATGTCGCTCAGCCAGTTGTCGCAGATGAGCTCCATGGCGCTGGAGACGTAGCTCTCGGCCCGGTTCACCCTGTTGTTCGGCACCAGCAGCCGCTTGTATTTATCCGTGTGCTTCTTGCTCCTCAGCACCTGCGAGATATAATATAATAATAATAATAATAATAATAATACAAAACATGCGGTGGAGCCTGTTGTTGTTTACTCCGGGTTGGAGGGTTACTTTAAAAAGGAGCCTGAGTAAATGTGCTTTATTTGACCCTGAAGGAGTGGCTTTTATGTTTTGAAGTGAGTTTTGCATGCGATGCTTCTCCATCGGTTTAGATGGCGGTCAGCACGACGGAGGTTTGGAGAAACAACCAGGCCACTAGACTCCATTAAAGAAAACAGTCATTTGACCTTGCAGGACACAGGAGGTGCTTTTGTTTACGGTGCCTCGATCAGTTAGTTATTTTTGTGTTATTGTGTGACTTTGGTGAATCCAAAACAAACTTTCTTAAAACGCAAAAGTCACACAACACAAATTAACTAGGGTAGAGATAAACAAACAACTCCTGTTCTGAAAGCGAAAGTTAAAAATGTCTTCAATAGAGTCTGGTGGTTTACTTTAACAAGGGCCTTATTCTGCTTTCAGGGGTTTCCCTTCCCTGTAGTGGGGTATATAGGTTTATGTGCATGTAAATGGTTTGCAAAGGCTAAAGTCCCTGTGTTCTGTCCACAGGAAAAAGCTCTTATATTACCCTACAGGTATTTACTACAACACAACAAGGCAAAGCTGCACCTCTTGACACACAGAAGCTGGAGCCATGAGATGTTTTGGTATGAGTTAGTACCTGGATGCTCTCCTTCACCAGGGCCTGCTTGGACTTCAGCCGGGAGTTGTGCACGGCCCGCGGGTCTCTGAAGAGCTGGATGATCTGCAGGTTGATCACCGGGTCTTTCATGAGAGGAAGCAGCGTGCTTAGATCCAGAACACGGACTCCTTTGATCACCATCACCGGGTACTTCTTACACTCCCTCTCCAGATCTCTGATGTCCCTCTTCTTGCACTTTGCGCACTGATCCTCCTTCACCAGCCCGATGTCGTGCCTCTTGTGAGCATCACACAGCGGCTCGGAGCAGATCACCTTGTTCATCTTCCAGCCGAATATGAAGGAGGTGGTGATGTTCTGAGAGCCCGCGTAGAGCTTGAGCACGGAGAAGTCGCACCGGTACAAGGCGTTCATCATGTCCCGCACCGCGCCCTGCAAGACAAGGACATTTATATATCACCTTTTTAACAAAGTGCTTTACAAAAAAGAAAAAAATTTAGAGCGTAAGAAATAGAGCAGCGAAAAACTAATTATAAAATGGCATTTGAAAACAGTCATTAAAAAGCAAAGAGAACCAGAAGTGGCTCTTTACCTCCCACTTCTGGTTCTGTTCGACTGTTTTCAAATGCCATTTATAATGTGTTTTTCTAAGTACATGTACTCAAGTACTTTGAGGTACCTGGATTCGTCGTCTTGTTATTTATAGACACATGCATTTTCAAGCATTTGGACTACCTATGTTGTAATTGTATTATCTTTTTAATTTACACACAACATCTATTGCATTTCTGTCCGTCCTCCCTCTGTTCTCTCCCGTTAACTGTGGGGTGTTTCCTTGTCCTATGTGAGGGTCCAAGGACAGAGGGGGTCATATTCATATTGGTTGTAAGCAGCTGTGACTGACACACAGTCTATTTTTGAGTAAGGGGTAGAATAAGACTTTCTTCTCCCTGCTCCTCTCATTCCTGAGCTAAAAAAAGAACAGGCTTAAAATGTACAACGGATTACAAGAAAAAATACCTGTACTCTCTTACAGTTACATAAAAAAATGTGTAATCAGATTACTGGTACATGTTTAAAAAGGGGGATTACTATCAGGATTACAAGATTGATGTATTAACTAATTTCTTTCTTCTTTATTGTAAATGCAGTTGATGGAAACCTGATTTATTGAACAAAAAGTCTGAGTTTGTTTTTAATTCACATGTTGAACTAAAACAGCATTTTTAGACCGTTCTGCATGCATTTACTGTAATTTAAGATGGCACATTTTTTAACCTAAATATCTTGGTTTTTTCTTTTCTAAGGTCACATTGTTCTGTTTTTTCTTGGACATTTATGTGAATTTTCAGTTATGTACTTACTATGTATTGTGGGCCATAATATTATGTGAGAAATTGTCGTTTTCTTGGACCTTGATGTGAAGTTAAGATCTGTGATATAAGATCTGGGTATTGCAATTTCACACGTGTACAAAAGTAGCTTAATTCAGCTGATGAGTGCTATGTGAATAAATGTAAGCGATGTGATGCAAGTAGCTCTTGGCCCCTTTCATTTTTTCAAAGTAGCTCTCAGATGAAGTAAAGTTGGAAACCACTGTCTTACATAATAGGCCTACACTGAAGTAGAAAAACCTCATATTCATTTTACTCTTGTAATTATTTGCATCGCATTGCATTTGATATTGAGGTAACGGAAAGTAATCAGGTTACTTTTATATTTTGAGACTCTGATTAGGCTACTGATTACAGTTGTTGACATGGTAACACTGGTTATAATAATGTCCATGAGTGGAATAACACTAATAATAAAAACAGTCAGCAGACCTGCAGGCTTCCAGCGTCCCCCGGGTACAGAGCCTGCCATATGTGCCACATGGGCTCATACAGGTAGAAGACATCGGGGTGCTGGTTGAACAACTCCCCCAGGAACGAGGATCCGGTTCTCCAGGTGGCATGAAGGTAAATGTGTATCCGAGTTTGGCTCCTGTTGACGGCGTGCTGCTCCGATGCGTTACCGTTATCATCCCAAAGCTTCTCCAAATCTGGGCATCTGGGCTGTTGCTGCCGCAGTTTGTTATTGTGGTGCACCGATTTATCTCCGTAATCCAACACGTAGGGGATTAGCAGAAGTAAACCTGTGTATGCCAGGATCAAAACCAGGTATTTCTTGTGCAGCCGCCTCTTCATTTCCTCTCCGGAGGCTACAGTTGTTTCCTTTTGGAGGGTCTGCGCTTTGTGAGCTGCGGTGGAGATATGCGTGTGTGATTGTGTGTGTGTGTGTGTGTGTGTGGAAGGAGTGTGTGTGGGTGTTTAACCACGCCCCATTAAAGACAAAACTATTATTTCGTTACATGGTGTAAAAACCGTTATAAAAGGCGTTAAAATCATCGACTGTATATAATGCGTAGGTTGTGCTGGCATGGTTCCTAAGCAGTCGAAAACTAATCAGATTGAGAACCGTTAAATTAGAACTCACAAAGAGCCTTAAAGGAAAAGACGGCCCAACGGATACTACCTACCCTAACAGTACTGTAATAGTTATGACCGTTGGAAAATTGTTTTGTACTTTCTCTTGTACCTTGTGCTAAATTAGCTGTGAAAAAGTAATGGACAAATTATGCGAACCATTATATCATACCGAAATATCAAAGAATCTTCTTAGAGAAAAGGGTCCAATTGCTACCACCTACTGTAACCCGATTTGAGTAGTGCTAGGAATTGTGGGAGATTGATGAGAAATACGTAGTTCTTTTGATTAGTGTTTTTAGTCAGTAGTGTATTCTTATCATAAGGCATTGAACGTTTAAAGTTTTAACTAAAAACGTTAACATGTAAGCAATGCATAATGAGAGTACCGTTAATTTGGAAATATCAAAGAGCCTTGTAGGTAAGAGTGTCTAAAGGAGATCTTCTACCGTAACCTAACCGGTGCAATGAATTCTGGGAGATTAATGAGAAACTAGTGCTCCATGTGAACAACATTTTGAACAGTTTATTTATAGTATATATTATATAGAGTACACTATCTTAACCCGACAGTGTATTATCATCATTTTAAAACAAATAATCGCTTACCCAAATTAAAAGTTTTATACAAGAAAAAACAATGTCTACTTTCTCTTGTGTGTTGCGCATGCGCCCAGTTTGTTGTCAGTTGGAGGCAACGACACTCCGTACTGAATGAATGAGAGGAGAAATAGCTCAGACTATCATGCATTTGCAACGAACATCATTATGCTGATGTCATTATCTAACATTTTACAATTCGAGCTAGCTCTATAGCTTGCAGCATCAACGGGACTGACAGACAGCTAAATCTACTACATCTACATGCTAACTTGAAGCTAACTGCTGTCAACAACATGGCGCACTGGACCACCTTCGAGAAAGAGACAGAGAGGGAAACTAAGAGGCTGGTAGCATGTATCTCCGGGGTGGAGGACGAGGAGGACCAGAACTTTCAGCTGGCCCTCAAATTTGCCTGGTCCAACTTCAGGTATAAGGGACGAGGAGCTAGCTTGTTAGCTGCTAGCATGCTCATGTGATGCTAATAATAACAATGTGGTTTGTTGACAGGTTCCATCGTTTCCTGGACGTGGACAGCCACAAGGTCCAGCGCAGTATAAGTGGGTGAGTGCTGCTCTTGTTGTCTTTTACAGGAGCATAACAATATTTATACCACAAATGAAGGATTTTCTTTAATAATCATAATAAAAGTATGTAGGTTATATACTTCATTATATGTAGGCTACTACAACAGAACAGTACAACTATTGAATCCAACTATCTAAGTTTCATGAGGGAAATGGGTTTAAAGTATAATACTAAATACTTTTCAATGCATACAAATGTCCCCTATGATTCTTATACTTAATACTGTATATATCAGGTACAAGCAGGATTTTATTGTTGTAGTTGGTTGAGTTGGAGCTGACTTTAAACTGTAAACATATACAAAATTGAAAGTAGAAAGTAGTCGACACATTATTACTAATTTTTTTATTAAGACAAAAGAAAAGGAAACCTCACTTGTAAAGCTTTTAATGAAAAAGTGCAGTTTGAACATTTTTTCAAACTATTCTAATGTTATCTAAAAAAAAATCATAAATATTTTTGGATACCTGTAGTGGATCAAAACATGACATTTGTATATGTATATAATTGCATGGAAATAAAAGACAACAAGTATGTAAAAATTGCACTAAGTTACAGTAATTGAGTAAATATTGCATTTCTCTGCTGCTGCGTTTTCCAGAATCTATGAGAAGCTGATGGTGCACTCAGACGTGGTTAAAGCAGAGAGCTGGACGAAGCTGACTGAAGAGTTCCTGAACTCACCGTTACCTAACACAGATGGAGTAAAGGTAGGCATGAGACGTGGGCCGACAGAAAACTCAATCATTAGTGAAGTTAATTTTTCTCCTGGCCAGCAAAAGATCAGACACATTATTCACATTTTGTGTTTTTACCCAGAGTGATGCACACTACAGTCTCGTGTCCCTGCTGCTCTTCCTGTCAGAGTCCCCCTTGCACACAAACTTTACTGAGAGACCCAGGATAAAGGAGGCCGGTGAGTCGACGTCTCACAGATGCTTCGTTCTTTAAACTATTTTAAATGTCCATGGTAATAATTATCGCTTCCTCTTGTGTCTGCAGAAGCAAAAGATGACTTTGACTGGGCTAAATATCTGAGGGAGGATGAGGACATAGACGATGGGCCATACCCAGACACCCCTGTGAGTTAATAATAACAAAACCCACTCTTTATTGACATCAATGTTTACAACAGCTGAGTATAGTGTATTGTATCTTAAGTGTGTGGGAGCTTTAAATCAACAGCAAAGTAAGCACTGCAGCCGAAATAGACCCTCTCAGCGGATTTATTAACACAGTAAATCAGAAAGAGTAAAAAAGGGAAACTAATCAAATATAGTAAAAGTTAATCAATTAATACTTTTTTATAAATAATTGAATAAATAAATACACAGTTTAAGAGAGATGATTAAAAGTTGACTCTTTATAATAGTACTATATACACAGTACAGAATCTTGTTTTCTTAATCTTTTGAAAAAGTGAGATATTCATAGATTTTTCAGATGGATTTAAAACAAATGTCATGAAACCTGGTGCAGATATTGAGATGAATTGAAGTGAAAATAAATTTGTGTATTCAGAAACAAAAGATGTCAGAAATTTGAAAACGGCAAAAATCAAAAAAATGATCTGAAGTAGCCAAGAAAATTGCAATCAGTGCATCTGTAGATTTCTATCTAAATAACATCTTATTAAAACGATTTTTTAGGAGTGGTCTGAGGAGGAGAGCGAGGACGAGGACAGCCAGCAGCCAATTAGCAGAGAGGATTCTGGGATCCAACTGGACCGGACACCGCAGGAGGATCAGGACAACAACAACAAGACGGTTCCTGTCACATGGACAGGTGCAAACACATCACACTGCATCGACACACACACACATGGAGAGTGTGTCTCCATTTAAAGGTCACCTATTATGCAAAATTTACTTTTTCATGTCTCTTCTACATCAACATGTGTCCCCTCTGTGAAAAGAGACTCTGAAAGTTTCAGGAACAAAGATTCTCTCTCTTTTTGTCCTGATCCATTTCTATAAAAACCTGTCTGAAAATGAGCTGATCAGATTTTGGCCACTTTATGATGTCATAACGATGTCTTGTCTTGTGTAACCATTAGCCAATCAGCAACCAAGGTAACCCCCCCCTCACCTTATCACCTGAATCTCCTCCTAGAGCACCATTCTGTTATTTTTAACCGAATCTCTCTCAGAGGGGCGTGGGGAGGGGCTCCTTATTTTCATCTAAAGTAACAGACAGAGAATCAGCACTTTGGAAACAGGGCTGAAACAGAGGGGATTATGGGTAATGCTGCAATGATCTGTTTGGTGTTTGGAGCCAATCAGAGACAGGTTCTGGATATATCTGAGACCTGTGATATATTGATGAAAAACAGTACAATAGAGGGCCTCTAAGTCATGTTGGAAGCTGGCCAGCTATTAAACTGGCTATATTTGAGGTGAAACCATCTCAACTAGTCATATTCCCTCATTGCAAAAAGGACAACTATAGCAATTACTGTATTTGTCAAAACCATGGTTGTTGAACCATGAAGCTACGTCAAAAAGGGCAGTTTACATATTTTCCTTCTTAACTTACTACGTGTTTGTTTGGAATACGATTTTGTAGTCTGTTAGTAGAGGGACCCTAAAGACAAGACTTAATTGTCCAATCAACTTCTCTTGTTATAACTTTTTGCATATGAATATACGACACATATGATTGCCCATCCATCAGACAGGCCTCGACACTGTCTGACCTTATTAAATCGCTTCTGAAACTCCCCAACCTCTTTCTCCTTAGGTCTTCGACATCTGTAGATTGTCGCTTTTATGTCTTTTAATTGTCTATTGTTTACTTGCCATTGTGTTGATGGTGTGTGAGTTGCTGTGTGATTGTTATATGTTTTGTATGTTTATTTTAAACGTACAGCAATTGGTCTGGAGGTTTCAAAACAAAAGTGCTTTATAAATAAGCTGTATTGTATATAAAAGACTTGAAACGTATTGGACTGAAAACTAACTAAAAGACGGCACTATTTTATAATCATGTCC